ATTAGGTACCTTAATGGTAATACTTTCTTGATTGCGATGTCCAGAATTTGAATTATGATTCATATAGTTTCCTCCATGATTATTGTAAGAACCGCTACCGCTATTGTGACTGTTTGGTCGGTGATCTTGGTGATGATTCTAATAAATAATTTGAGAGTTAGACGACGAAAGTATCGAAATAAAATATCGAAATAAAAAATTAAAAGCAGATTACTATTTCTGAAGAAATTTCTCCGTTGTTGATAATCTCGTTAATAAGGGCCTTTGCTCTTTGAATTGCTTCATCATCCCCGATCAGAGTAACGGGTCGATTCTTGGATTGAGGACTTGCGGCACTATCTGGTGTGACGTTAATATGTGCACCACTTCTGTCTTGTAAATCACGGATTGTTTCGCCTTTACGACCAATTACAACACCGACTTTATTGCTTGGAATACGAATAATCACGGTATTTTTGTTTTGCCCGTTCATAGCAGAGTCGCGACGATTAACCAGACTACCATTTCTAGCATCTTCAACTAATTTTTGAATCATTGCTCTAGCAATTTTAACATCGTCAGCTAACCCAGTAACTTTAACGTGCCTTTCAATCATATCCGGTGGTTGATCTTTTATATATATATGATAAAATGTTGTTGATTTTAAATATATAAATTAATAATTATATTAAAGAAATTCTACAAGAAATTTTTTTAAGTCATCAAACCTTGAGAAAATTGAATTCTTGCACCAGTTGTTTTTTCAATTCTTTTCGTCCTTTTCTTTCACTGCCTCATTCTTCTCGTCTTTGTCCTTTTTTAAATCTTTATTTTGTTCAATAGTTATTGATTTTGTTTCTGCGATTGTAGAAGTCTTTTTTATAGAAATCTTTTCAAAATCTTCAACTAATTCTTCTAAATCTTTATCAACAAGTGAAGTTATCGTCTTAACACCATATTTTTCTTTTAATGCTTTGTGTCCTTCTGTATAAAGTTGTTGCAATTCATCCTTATTTATTTTTTGCATTAAAATTTAAAATGATTTTTAATAATAATAATAATAATAAATAACAATAAATTACTATTATTTACCTCCCAACCACATAATTTTGCTAATTTTTTAACACCTTCATCACATGTGCTTTGTAAGAAAACATCTCTTCTATCCTCTCCTTCAAAGTCAAACCCAAATCCTGGCATATATGTCTAACATATATATAATTGTTTTTTTTATAAGAAAAAAATTAATAGTAGTCAATCATAACAATAAGATCGACCATTGAATGATTTTATACCTCACCGACTTTCTCTAGGTTGATTAATAATCTTGGAATTGTATCTTTAACATCGTCGATTAAACTAGCAAAAGGTTGAACTTGTAAAGAAGTTCCAATAACGATTAAAAGATCACATTTTTTAAAATCCTAGAAAATAATAATAATAATTAGTGTTGATGTGTAGATCTATATTAATATGTACAATAGCGGTAGAAATGAAAAGGCATACTGATAATCTTTCAAAAAAACTACGAGGTAACATTTCTCCAAAAAAGGTTATACATGGTTTAACTAATCCACCGTTACACTTAACACAACCAGGTATCTCGCCTTTATCAACAACTATACTTCTCATCCACTCAGAATCTGCTAATGTTTTGCAATTTAAACATTTTGATTCTGCAAATGATCCGTGAGCTTCAACAATCAAATCAGGTGGTAAATCAGTAAGTCTTTCAAGTGTGTCAATATTTTGAGTAAAACATCTTAAAAGAAGATTACGTCTATGTAACAGAAATATGAAATAATGAGCTAAAGTAGGCTAATTGTCATAGTGATCATATTAAATGTATTGGTTATTTAAAAATAGATTAGAATAAATTGAAATAATTGACCAATAATTAAAAAGTAATAATTATTTACAAAATATTTTCCAGGATATAATTCCTTTGCCAATGTAAAGAATGGCTCTGGATGATCCTAAAAAATATTTTTTATAAAAATTTAAAAATTTTATAAACATGTAATTGAAAAAATCTAAATCGTATTTGTTAATTTGATCATACCTCAAAATAATTTATATCAAAAATTGCTTCTGGATATGGTAAATTATATTTTCCTAAATTATCATAGATGCCTGTACCAGGTGTTCTAAAATCCGGTATACCTACACACAATTTGATTAAAATAAGCTTTATATTTAATTAATGTATATGTGTGTAAATTTACCAGCTGCTGTAGAGATTCCTGCGCCTGCCATCACAATAACCTTATTAACTTTTTTTTTAAAAAAAAAATCAGTTATTAACATTCATTCTATTTTTTTAAATACTAATAAAAAAAAAAATCTATATTAACCTTTTCCATTTTTGATCAAGTTTGCAATGGTTTCGATTGTAGGAGGATCTAAGGCTGGAACGAGCTTTTTTTTAATAAAAAAAAAACTGTAATTCAAATTAACGTGTATTGTAAGTTTTAAGATATAAAAAAGGTATTGCAAATACTAACCTTGGAAGTTTTTTCGTTGCTGACAGCAGATTTCGCGTCATCGGTAGAACCTGGCGTGGGAAAAGTTTCTTTATCGTTAGGCATTATAACGTCAAGATCAAATGAAAGCTTTGATTGATATCAAATAAAAGAGAATAGCAGTTTCCCATTAACCAAGAGATACTGCACCGAAAAATATTTATTTTCATGGCAATTAATTCAAAAGCTTACTTTATAATTATGTTTTTTCAAATGATTTCAACGTCAGTTGCGAAAATCTGCCGGCGATCATACCACAAAGAAATGGGTGGGATATTTAGATCATGTGGTGAACCGAATTAATAACTGCACCTGAATATCCGATTTTTATACAATAGTTTCATTTGCAAGTCTATTTATGTTTGATTATTTATTTTTTTAATATTAATTTCTTCAATATATGTCTAACTGGATATATTAGGATCATGGTGCCTAAGAACAAATGGTACCATGGGAATTGATGTTTGAATTTTTAATCCATAATTAGGTACTTACACCTATTGTACCAATAAATAATCATCTAATTTTGATGCTTTATGTATTTTATTTTGTCATTTTCATTTAAAACGGCCGAAAAATTTTTTTTTTTGGATTTGCATAATTCACTGATTTTTATAAAACATGGAGAATATTTTTATTCGACCACCACCTTCTGAAGATTTTGTTTATTATTCAATATACTTCCCTTTTGCCAACTCTGAAGATAAAAATCAAGCTATAATCTTTCTCAAAGAAACAAGTGCTTTGATTATTTCTGAATTACATCAATTTTTGAATGTTTATATTTGGCAAAAAGATGCTTTTAATTTGAGAATTGTAAACAAAGAATCAGGTAATTATATATTTTTATTTTAATATAAAATAAATATTATTTATATATAATATATGTTTCTTGGTAATTAACAATTAACAATGTCATTTTGAGCCCGATCAAGAGAAATTTGAGAAGTATAAAGCTTTCAACAATAATAACTTAATTTTTTTGCATCAGCTGTTCAAAAACTCTTGTGTGTAAAGTTTTTTATGTAAAGTTCTCTTTTTTACTATGAAATGTATGACATTTTTTAATTTAGGAGTGGAGACAGTTTTGGAATTGGAAGATCTGCAAATATATATATGTGAACATTGAGTTGTCCCCCCATATATTTACTTACCCCTAGCTAGTACTATATAGAAATTTAGGGTAACACTAAAATTTACTCAAAATATATTCGCAAGATTACAAAAATCGAAATAACTCTTAAACTATATGACGTATCTAAATAAAATGACATGGTTTGGATTCACATTTTGATGCTGTTTAGGCATATAGAGAGCTTTTTACAAATTTATTTGCATAAAATTTTGTATCATATATACATAACTTTCCTTTTTTTCTTTTAGCTTAGAATAAGTGATATGATTTATATTAAAATCAAAAAAAACTCTCTATAGGGACATTTCTCTATCCTTCTAATATATTTTAAACTTAATTTGGAATCTGTACCTCTGTTCTTTAAAGAGTTATTTTCGTTCAAAGTTTACTATTAAAAAAAAGATCAATGAAAAATCCTTAATAAAAATTCATATATGTGATCGACTATGTTTGTAAATCATATGATGTGGGACACCCCAGTATAGTATTGTAGCATAGTGGAAATTTGATTTCATTGGCTAAATTTTGTGACGATCTCCCTTCCAGATATCACGCAACAATTAAATTTTATTGGCTTGAAAATCATTACGCAAATTTGAAAAACAAAATATTAATATTAATATTAATATTAATATCGGAGGGAATGATAAAAATAAAATGTTTATAAAAAAATTAATATAGTATTTCTTTATTGAATGTTTTTAATACATATGCTTGGTTTTTCATTATACAGTCTAATATATTATTTGCTTTTAACTTTTCATTGACTTCATCAAATCAACATTTTACCTTTG